AGGTACACAGGATGTTCATTTGAAAACTTTCCACCACGAATTTATCGAAAACCACTGATTAAACGCAAAAACGCCGAGACACGTCAAAGATTTGTCAAGGGGGACAACCTTCTGCCCCCATTTCAATTGACAAGGGGTATCGAGTGATAGCTTGTTTGGAAAGTCTTTCGAAGTCCTTTATTCTGACGTTAGATTTTTTTAAGTAGGTCGATTTGCTTTCAAGTAAAATAGAAAAATCCTCATTTATCGTAATTTGTTCAGATAGAAAACATAAAAATATACGAAATTATCACTTTTTATATCAATAAGTGTTCAAAATGTTGCCCGTTAACGGCCAAACAATGTTATAGGCGATGTTCAAATTTCCGACGGACATTTTTAAAAACTTGTTGTGGTAGCTCTCGATGATGCGTTGACGAAGTTCATCCCAACTTCCAGGTTTGGGAGTAAACACAGTAGATTTCGAATAGCCGCATAGGAAAGTCTAATGGCATCAAATCACGAGATCTAGCAGGCCATTCTAAAGGCCCCCTTCACCTTATCCATTTATCTGAAAACTCTTCGTCTAGAAATTGTCGAACCGGAAGAACATAGTGAGAAGGAGCGCCGTATTGCTGTAAATAGATTTCAGCGTCATCAAGTATAGGTATTCCATCCTCTTCGATTTGGTTTTCAATGGTTTCAGTGATAAGCGGATTCATGGTATTCTCCAACATATTCAAATAAATGTCTCCATCCAAATTTCCATTAATGTCACTTTGTTTCTTAAAATGCCTGCCGATACATACATTTTTTGGGGGTCAGGGTATGCAATTCCTCAAAACCATGAGGATTTTCAATACCTGCAGTCATGCTTATTGACAAATCCATTTAGATAAAATGTGCATTCATCACTGGAGCAGATATTCTTTACATGAATGGTATTATCATTATTCGCTGCAGTCATTTGTTCACAAAACTCAACTTGCCTGTCGAAATCATCTTCGGTTGACTCTTGTAATATTTTTATTTTGAATGAATGAAATTTGTGGAGTTTAGTAACTGTGTGTACAGAGCCTAATGAAGTACCAGTCGCAACAATTTTGCATCCAAAGCTCTCCGACAATCACGTTTCTTGTTTGCAACAGATTCAGTTTGAGCAAATTTAGTAACAAGGTCCGAAACATACCTATGCAAAGTTATGCTCCTCGGATGTCTGTCGTTAAATGTGACGGCAGTTTGCTAGGCACATAGATTTTGGGCACCATAAGTTAGAATCATTTCCACTCCTTTGGCTAGTGTGTAAACCATTTTGGAAGTAAAATCTGAATCAATAAATTAATTTTTACTATCCCAAGATTGTCACAAAGGTAACTGACGGCAAAATAAACTCTTTCTTTCCCTTAGCAACAAATAACTAAACAGGTAAAACAATAAATACAGTTCGCGCAGGATACCGATGTTGATGAAAAGAATGCGGAAGAAATTCGGGTTGTTATTCGGTTGTTGCTATGTCTAATCTTCCGGATTGCTGTTTATGTTGGAAGTTTCTGTTTTTAATTATAAACAAATTGTAGTTTTGGCAAAACCTAACGGGCAATATTTTGAACACGTATTCGCACAAAAAGTGATATTTTCATATGTTTTTGTTTTCTATCTGAACAAATTAAGATAAATAAAAGGTTTTTTCAATTTTGTCAAAAACGAATCGACTGATTTAAAAAAATCGAACGTAAAAATAAAGGACTTCAAAAGACCTTTTACACAAGTTATCACTCAATACCCCTTGTCATTTAAAATTTTTAAGCCGTTGACCCTGGGGGGCCGGGTGTCAAAGGGGGTGAGGTAGTTTTGGTTAAAAAGTTGTCCCCTTTGACAAATGTTCTGATGTGTCTCGGCGTTTTTTTAATTAGTAGTTTTCGATAAATCTGTGGGAGGTTTTCAAATAAACACGCTGTATATTATCAGCTAAGTTGCTTTTGTGACGAATATGTGTGCCTAATTGTAATGGGTGGGATGTTGTTTATCTTTACGGCACTAAATGTTCTGCCCTATAAACTTTTTCTGTAGAATGTAAAATTGGACGACTAGCTTAAAGAAGCGATTCTGACCCGGAGTTTGATCTACTGCTTATTGGGGTTTTGGCAAAAAGCTCTCATGAAATATATAATAACCTTAGAATTCCTTAAATTGAGCTGGAATTTAAGGAACTTTTCAGCTACCGCATTTTTGATTCACGAACATCTGTGGATTAGGATTAATGTCTGACTGATAGACTTAGATCTAACATCTAGGTTTCGAATAGGGACGGACAGCCTTTGCTGATGCCGAATATCGATGGTATTGGCTTCCGTCAACGGTTGAATAGCGAACCAATGAAAAAATCACATGGACCTGTGCTTCTCGGAATGCATTTCATATATGTAGTCAAAGTTATACAGTTCTTCTACAGTAATAATGATGTTGGCTATTCCATATGCATTGTTAGCTAACTAATTACGTGGGTCATAAATCGCTAGGTAGAATGATGTTTATATTTTTTAATAAAAAGTGTTCCCATGCCACACCAACTTCCTCCATTGAAAATAAAATTGTGCGATCGCTACTTATGTTCTTGTCACCAGATATATGAGTCAATTTCTACCACATGTACAGGATGGTTTACCACTCTGTAGACGGTGGCTCCTAGACAAATCTTCTTAAAAACTGGCTAGCATCGTGGTGACCATACTAATTAAAAAAATAGCGTCAAGCAGGCTGCCTATGCACTTTCTAAGCAACGCCGTCATTAGTTCATTAAGGACCAAGTTCAGCACAATTTGAACCCTCTGAGGAAAGTATTAGATACGAACATGTACAATAGATAAAGTAAATAGATCAAGTCAGTTGAGCAGGTAACATACAATTAGATTATAGATATTCTTTGCCTGCGTTAACAGTAGTTACCGTCCATCTGGCAACGTTGTCCATTTCCATATCGTCAGATGCGGCAATGTCCACCGAAGCACTGCCGCAGTACGAGCAGAACAATCAAGCAGACCGTTACGCCGGCAGCTGAGACCAGATAGCAGAAGGAGACGCGGATAGAAAACATTTCTGTATCATTCTATGTTTTATAGACAAATGGACGGGGAAACCTTTAATGCGTGAAATACGGCTTTAGGTGCATAGAATTACCAGAATTGGCACCGTAGAAATATACTAACATCCAAAAATTGAGATATACCTTCTCCCACTACCCTACAAACGGGTTTACAGCCCCCTTCCTTTAATCTTTTACCTCTAATTTTCTTCAAAAAATGATCAAGATCATCTAAAACGTCAAAAAGCGATGTTTGAGCGATTTTTATTTTTTCGTCTTTGACATTTTCCTCCGCCGACATTGGACCGACTTTCAAAAGCTGTAAAACTTTTTTTTCCTCGACGTAGCAGTAGGTACCCTTGTGTGAAAATTTTATCCTAATCAGAGCAGAATTTTCCTTGTTACCGAGGAGCCAAGGATTCAGGACAGATAGACAGACATACCGACCGAAAAGAGTTGACATCGTTTTTCGTGATGTACCTACATGACATATAACATCCAAAGTTTTCGCGATTACAATACTTCCTCGACCAGTGGCGTAAGTAGTAAACGCCTATTTGACCTGGGCTGCCTTTAATCTACGGCCATTGTCTTTTGGCAAACAGTTCTCACAAAATCTATGATGAAAATTATCTTTGCCGGAAGATGCTTAAATTGGACGAGATATTACGGAATTTTGCAGTTATTGGCGTTTTGATTAACGGGCTTCTGGGACGGAGGTGTTATTGATAGACTAGAAGTGAATTTCACCAGGATTGTCAAATTAACAGCCTCCACCTATTGGGTAACAGTCCGTCAAATACAGCGAATGAGCTTCAAGACCAACAAATTTTAGCAACCAATAGCTATGAAATATTGAAAACTAAATATTGTCAAAGTATGAGATGACAGCTTGTCATTGAAACAATACCATCTTATTGAATATTAAGAAATTACATATAATTCAGTCAAAATGTTTGAATTTTGAATAAAATTCGTGTCTTTTTTACTATTGTTGATCGTTTATTCATGTTTATATTATTTTCTTAAATTGGTATGCGTTTTCACTGATTTAGCCTCACCTACCGTGTGTTTTTCCCTATTAACCTCTTGTAGATAATCATTAAACGCCTACTTGATGACAAAGACTCCACCAAAAATTTCACACATATTGCTCGTTTCCAAAAGCATCTATTACACAGGGCGAGATTAGTAGTTACTCGTCAGCGAATTTACTCGCTGCTATAAAAGTCGTCAAATGTAATCGCAGCTGCTAGTAAACTCGCGGCTCGCTTTTTCCCAGCGAGTAAAGTTGAACACCGGCCTACTTTTCTCGCTACTCGCTCGCAATTTTTCTCTCTGACGAGTGAAAACGCTATGTGTAATAAGCTAAAGCCCGACTAGTTGGATAAAATGGCCGATATAGTGTGTGTAGGAATTGTTTTTGTCAGCCTTTTAATTCGGAAAAAACTTCAAGAACGGTTAAACCAGAAAAAAAGGAAAGCGAGACGGATGTGGGTCAGGAATTGGATTTCAAAACGGGACACACATGGGGCTTCTAATATTTTATTAAGACAATTAAAGGATGAAGATCCTGTGGCATATAGGAATGTTTTGAGAATGAGCAATGAACAGTTTAATGTACCTACTATTACAAACGGTTGACGAAACAATCCGCAAAAAAGACACAAAAATGAGGATGGCGATTCCAACTGCTACAAAACTAGAAATAACCCTACGCTTTTTGGCAACTGGTGATTCGTTCAAATCACTAGAATATTTATTTCGAGTGCCTGAATGTACAATTTCATTGTTTGTACCCGAAGTACTTGCAGCAATTTGTTAGGTCCTAAAGCCATATAATTATAAAGGTAGGTTTAAGTATCAATTTACTTTTAACACAGTATTTATACTTATAAAACAAAATATTTTTATAATTATATGAAAAATAGAATCTATTTCATTGAGAAACTTCTTCTACTATTTTAAACTCTGCCCCCGAAAATGTATTTAATAGTGCTTGATGAATAACATCGTTACCATAAACGCTATCTTTGTCATTTTGCACATTTGCTTTATATGTTGCTGATGAGGCAGGGCTGGGATCACTGGGGGAGGATAACGGTGAAAAATTTTGCACTTGAAGGGGCTCTCTGTAGTAATTATTTAGTTGATTATCATTTCCCAAACACATTAGCTTTACACGTGTAATAGAATTCTGAATTTCTTGCTGCAATAAAATAGCCTCACGTTGGGGTAATTGACGCAGCTCTGCAGCTACATACTTTCCAAATTCGTCGTACGGTTTTCCTTCTGATACATTTTCAGCTATTTTATTCAACTGACTGATTGCATCGCCAATTTCTGGATCTGCCTGTTTTCTCACCCTTTTTTTCGATTTAGGGGGTCCCATCCCCTCTGAGGGTTTTATATTTTGTTCCTTGGGCTGTGTATCGGGTTCTTCATCGTCACGCTGTTGAATTTGAGAATTTGAGATTTCCTCAGATATATTTTGTGTGCTGGGTAGAGTCTGAAAAAATTAGAAACAAATTTGTAAAGATTTTTTTAACTTTTTGCTTGATTTAAGAATTGAACAAATTTTTTAGATCATATTTTTTTCTTGCAGATGCCTTTAACAAGCAATGAATGGAAACAAATTCAATACAATTTTTTCCTTCGTTGGAATTTCCCAAGATGTTGTGGAGCAATTGATGGCAAGCATGTTCTGATTAAAAAACCTCCCAAGTCTGGGTCAATGTACTTTAATTACAAAAAAACATATAGTATCGTGTTATTCGCAATGGTGGACGCAGATTATTGCTTTACTTACATTGATATTGGAGCAAACGGCCGAGCTAGTGACAGTGCAATATTTAGAGATAGTACTTTGAACATAGCAATGCAAAATAACACACTTAACATGCCTGAAAATTCGGTCATTGTTGGGGACGATGCCTTTCCATTGAGAACCAACTTAATGAAACCCTACAGTAAGTCACAGCTTAATAATACTGAAAGGATATTCAACTACCGACTCTCTCGCGCAAGAAGAGTATCGGAAAATGCATTTGGTATTCTTGTGTGGCGCTTCAGAATATTTTCAAGACCAATTCAATTAAAAGAAACTACAATTGACAATGTTATTTTGGCAGCATGTAGTCTCCACAACTGGCTGAAAAAAAGTAGCCCAAATACTCATTTTCCTGAAAATGCCGTGGATAGAGAGGATCTTAACACGGGCAATATTACTTTTGGGCAATGGAGAAACCACGTGAATAATCTGCCAACGGTTAGTCATTTGGGAAGCAACAACTACAAAAATTCTGCAGAGGAAGTAAGACGCAAATACGCTAAGTATTTTATGGAAGACAATCCTTTACCGTGGCAATGGAAAAAAGTGGGATTGGAATTAGCTTGAACAATTTTTATATTTTTAAGTGATTTATTATTTTTCAAATTAATTCTGCTCAAAGTGTTAAAGAAAATTTAACTTTATTTGTTATGTATAATTTGCTTAAGTATGAATAAAAAATATATAGCTCTAAAATCTCCTTACCAAGTTTGAATTATTATGCCTTGTTCACAAAACTTCAGCGAAAAAATGGGCAGCTTCAAACCATGTTAGCTTTGGGGTATAAATATCCTCTGTTCCACAGCCAGTTTTTTTGCTTCGTTCTATCTTGGCCAGTTCTTGACGAAACACATCTTTTAAATTCTTTATTTTGTTTTTTAGTTGTTTTTCGTCCATTCCTTTTAAAAGCCCTTTATCCTCTAATTGCTCCCACATTTTCTTGAATAAAACATCTTTGAGTTTGATATTAACGTAATCTTTGTGTTTTATATTCCATAAAACGGGAAATTGTTCATAGACTTTTAAGAACTGTATAATTTGATTACTGTTCCATTTAACAGCCATTTTAGATTCTATTATCGCACAAAAGATACAAACTAAACACTTTTCAAAGGTTCAATACGATGCGAGTAAAGCGGTTTTACTAGCGCTGTGTAATTTGCGCTCGCTGAGCGTGTTCTACTCGCTCACTCGCTACTCGCCGGCGATCGGCTACTAATCTCGCCCTGTGTAATAGATGCTCAACATCCATTCATTTACTTGCCGTTCATCAGTATCCTCTTGGCACCTTAGATTGATATTTGCACAAAACCATTCAGGATATTTGATATCCATACACCTATAAAGTTGAATATTTTTCGTCGTTCAGGAAGTGAACATACATCGACACTATATTCACAGCGATTAAGAAATATCCAAATATATGTCTTAGAGCTACAGGCAAACCTGAAACCTGAAAAAAAACTAAAATTTGCAATAATTGTCTTTTTTTAGGAAGTACACATTCTAAGTAGTATTAGACGCTATTTGAATAAGAGCTGATTATCCCCTGCTATTTTAAAACTCCCCATATCGACAGTATCACATAATTCTGTGGGATCCATCAACGTTTGGTCCCAGTGAGACAAGCTTTGCTAACTCTTGAAATATACTATACTGTTCTTTTGTAAGACTGTACTTGGAATTTTTTCCAAAATCATTGCACAACACTTAAACAAATGCAAATGAAAATTTAAAATTATTTCCATGACGACCCAAATTTCTGCGTCGGGTACTCGGTACTCTTGACAGTAGTGATGTTCGATACGATCCGATATTTAGAAGTATCAATACTTTTGCTTCCGATAGCCGATATTTTGGATCGATATTTTTATATGCAACGCTTGGGTGTATCGATACATTTCACGAGTTCGTTATCTTTCAATCCTCACGTGTTTGTAAAAAACCTATAAAACGTCTAGAAAAGCCTATAAGATGCCAACTTGCAGACAAGGTAGTTTTTAGGGTGCAAACAGTCATTCCTCGTTTGCTCACTAGGATCGTTCTGAACGTCCGTCTATGGAGGAATCACTCAACTAAACTACGCATCATTGGTTGCATAGTTTTGTGAGGCTGAGTGATCCGGCACGGGTATCATGTCAAAAACCTATAAAACGTCAAAAAAATCCTATTATAAGATGTCATCTTGCAAACTAGGTAGTTTTTAGGGCGCAAACAGTCATTCCACGTTTGCTCACTAGGATCGTTGTGAAGGTCCATCTAAGGAGGAATCACTCAACTAAATAAGCTAAACGCATTATTGGTTGCATATGTTTTGTGAGACCAAATGGTTCTTGTCTGTAGTATTTATATCTGAGAAGAAAGTTGGTTGAATAGCAAGATCGCATCTGGACGATTATGTGTATTGGTCTGCACATATATATAAAATCAGTGATAATTGCTGTATGAGAAAATCATTACTGAATACGCTGCCAATGAAGTATATCTATTGGCTGTGCCCGACGGGTTATTTTTATATTTGTGCTTTCTGAAGAGAGGTTATGTTCAAAGTTATAAATTACGAAAAATTGAGGAGAATTGCGGGAAATCATCACCGCGCCCGCGTTGTGTGTAATTACTGTTAGCATGTATATGGCTTATAATTCGACAGTGTACAGTGAATATAATTATTTCTTATCTCTCTCTTTTTTGAAATTCAGCAAGTTTGTATATGTAATTTCCAGAATTGATAAGAAAAAGTGAATGCGCAACTAGCTTTGAATCTGAATTAAGTGTATTTGAGACAAGAACCCAATGCACTTATCATCAACGCATACAAGCTTAGACTTCCAGTAATGCCATCTCAGAAGCAGATTTTACATCACATCAGAGCCAAAGATTGATAACAAGCCTCATGATGTTTAGGCAACACGTACAACTAACTGCTAAGTTAATATCTTGTGGAAAAACCTACAAAATGTCAAAAAAACCAGCATAATGTCTAAAAAAATCGACATAATGTAACTTTTCAAGTTACGTGATACCCGTGCCGTTGCTTACGAACAGCACACATTCTGACCTAACCTAAATAAAACTAACTGAGCGACGCTTACGATTTGACATGACTGAGTTAGAATCTTACCTCCCCCCTTCCCGCTGAGAAGACTCCCGGATTTTCGTCAGAGTTATATTAACTGGTGTAAGTTGGCACCAAACACGACGTTTTTGAAATTTTGACGTTCATAATTGAGGTTAGGTATCTTCAGTGTTTGTGAATAATTTCTTATGGTCTCTACATAGTGATTAATTATGGAGGAATAAGAATTAAAGTTTATCATTAATAATGATAATATGACTTTATCAGAGTCTGTGTGATGATTTATTTAAAATGACGAATAAGTATGCAACCGCTTTATTGTTAGTTAGAACAGCTTTCAAGCCCGAACAGCAAATGAGCAGTTAAAAGCAATATTTTGTAAAACTAGAATTAAAAAAGAAAATAAAAACTATAACCACAAACCAACAACGTCTGATACATAACAAACCATATAAATAAGTGATTATTACCTTATTATTCGGTGTTTGACAGTTGACAGGTATGGTACGTTCCTCTTGAAATCATGCTTGCGATTAACGACTGAGCTCAACTCAGAAGCTAGCCTTGACTTATATCAGAAAATCTCCAGTTCGTAAGGAACTATTATTTGAGGGTTGAAAAAAAAAACAACTTTTCGATAGAGTATGTTCCGTATCGATACTTTTGATATCGATAATTTTATTCCGATATTTTAGAGTATCGATACTACCTAAAACGACAACAATCGATACACATCGATACTTTTCGTAGAACCAAACATCTTAAATCTTGACAGCTTGACGTTCTTGTCAACTAGACTGCGGGGTGCGGTGTTGCCTTTACTATTTTACATTTTGCTAAGATCTTATTAAAAATAGAAGCTTCAAATGAAATATTGACGAGTTTGAATGACTATACATTTATATTGCAGGTTTCAGACTGTCTATGCATGGACTCGAACCGGATTTTTCGGTATTTTTACCGAAATGAGAATATTTGCCACGAGTTTTCAAAATAATTGAAATATTTTCATACTTGCTGAAAAAGAGCTGGAACCTCAAAATAAAGCTAAAAGTTAATTTGATGTAGCCTTCGTAGTTCCGTGCCCCATGTCAATCATACATATGCATACACACTCAGGCAGTCGGGCCCATGAGAGGCGTAGATTTGGGTTGCCTATGATTATAAACACACATCCTCATCCCTTACTCCGCTTGCCTGAATTGATTTTTGCGCATACAAAAGCTACAGATGGTAGATTACCGTCATAACCGCATCACCGGATAAGCAATAAAGAAACCGGAACCTGTTTTCAAAATAAATATTTATTAACAATGTGACATGAGATCGTGAGTTCAGGGCTAAAACAGCAAAATATTCACAATCCTATAAGCAAGAATCGAAAAAGGAGTTTCCAGAATAGTTGCAAAGTACTTTGTTATAGAACGATGCCCTCAAAAATCATGTTGTGTGTGCGCTCACTACAATAATAAACGATAGACGGCGC